CTTTAATGTCCAGCGGAGAGCTTCCCGAGCAGCAGCAGCTACTTTGAAGGTGTGTGCTCGTCGAGGAGGGCGTCGACCTGCAGCCAGCGGAGCCCCTCCCCACAGATGATAGATGACCTGCCGGAGCTGCTCAGCCAACTTGGACTAATCAAATACCTCGATGTGTTTGAACAACAAGAGGTAAACACATTCATTTCTATATAAAAAAACGTTATTAGTGAGGGAAAACACATCTTCATTATCACTAACACGCTGTGTGGGAGAACTGGGTCAAGAGCTTTAAACATACAGATATAAACATATACATATAATATAATTAATATATAAACAAACCACTGTGTCCTACAAAATTATGTTTCAATGCAACTAAACAGCCTTCACAATAAGATGTTAAGGGAAGTGTATTCTTTCCGGATTACACTCGCGTCTAAACATGTGATTAATAATAGTTGTATATTAAGATGTATATTAAAATAGATTAACCTTGATTTTACACGGGACATTAACCACGGTTTTAGATTCAGCCACCCCTCCAGCTATAGCTTTGCCACCTGGACTATGATTTTAAGCATTTGTGTTACATAAAAAAATAATAAAATCCAGTGAAAAACAAGTGCAGTTTGGTTTTATGGGAACATACATGAAGGAATCCAAGCCAAAACAGCCACACACACTTAAACGAAAAGTGCATCATGAATGAGCGTTAACTGTAACACCACTGCTATCTGTACTCATCCAGATTGACTACCTGACCTTCCTCACTCTGTCGGATGAAGATCTGAAGGAAGTGGGCATCTCCACCTTTGGAGCGAGACGCAAGATGTTATTGGCAATCTCAGGTGAGAACCGGACGTCCTAGCTTGAATTCAGAGCAGCTTCTCCATCTGTCCTCTTGTGATACTATTAAGTTATTTCTCTTCCTGTCCAGACCTGACCAAGAGCAAGAGGAGGCTCTCAGACACACCTGCTGTGAAGCCTGGATACCTGGAGGGCGGGGCCAGCGGTCGACTACCGCCAATCATTGATCTAGAAGTGGCTGCTCAGAGTAATCACTGGTGAGAGGAGACCCCCACCAGCACTGAGCTCCATCCGACTGACGTGGAGAAATTCAGCCTCTAAGAAATGAAACAGTGATGCTGTTGCCAGTGCAGAGGCCTGCTTGTTAGTCACCATAACTGGATAAGCCTATATTTGCCTGAAGAGCAGCAAACATTATGTAAACATTTTTGACTTCTGTGTGTTTAATCTACAGCCATACCCCAAAGTGTTTTATACGAAATTAAGACAAGGAGGTCTTCCCTTCCAAACCTCTGATTCTACAAGAAACAAAATGAAAGAAACACAAATAAGACCATGTTCATCATGTGTGTTCCTTTCATCCTCAGAAAGTGCCTTTATTATGCAAACTGTAACCCCATGCTTTGGCCATGTGTTTGAGTCCATGTTAACCACTACACTTATGCAATTGTAAATAGATATTTTCAAAAAAAAGGACATTGTATAATGATAGTGATAATAAATACATGTTGCTCTCAAGGTTTATTTGTATATTTTTGTATTGCTTTATTCTTTTATTAAAGAGCTGACAGGAAAGTAGAGGGAGAGAGAAATGGGTGAACGACGTGCAAAAAAAGATCCTCTGCCAGGCTGATAGCAGGGGTATTGCAATTATATCGTCTCCGCCCTTAACTCCTACCAGACCCCCCGAAGAGCAGGATTTCTATTAAAAAGTACATGCAGCCAGCTGGATTAGACCACCAGAGGGCACTAGTGTCACACACTGTGATTATACATTCAAGTCAAGTTTGTGTAGTTTAAAAAGCAATGGAATTTCCCCCCAAAGAAACGCAGTGACAACAGCGTCAGAGCTCTGGTGGACATGGCAGGGAACGAACAATCAGATAGGGAAAAAATGAATTAGAAAACCCAAATAGGTAAATGCAAATATTGGTCTGAGGGTAATGTGACTGCTTATAATGTGGTTCGGTCTCGCATGACTGCTCCCCTGAAAGTTTCAATTTAATTTATCACCATTGCCAGCAGGGAAGCCACTGGAGCCGCTTATGAATTGTTTCCTGTTTAATTTATTTAGCAAAGGGCTACACCCAGCAATTAAGTGCTATCAGAGGGACCTCACTGGCAGAGTATTAACGAGAGCGGTATGATCTCTCTCTAAATTTGCACATTTGGAACAGTGCTGTTGGTTACCATATCCAAAGTGAATGATCCAGAAAACCTCCACGCTCACCGAGCTGCTGCAGCGGAAGCAGAGCATGACAGAGAGTGAGTGGAAGTGGCAGGCCGTGACAGATTAAAGAGATGATCCCTACTTATTACAATGTCTTTGCCAATTACATAGGCAGGCTTTAGACCAGTGATCCTCAAATCTGGTCCTCAGGCCCTGGAGCACTGCAGGATTTCCTCTTCTGTCAGGTAGTTAATTGCACTCCCCTGTGGTTGCGGGTCTAAATCGGTCCTTGATCACACAACTAGAATGAAAACTACCTGGAAGAACCGGCAGCCCTCTGGACCTTGATGACTGGAGAGCCACTTGGACTTCAAACCTGCTAAGTGGCAATCTTGGCACATATGATCGGCAGGCAAAATGAAACTGTGAGCAGACTCCATAATCAGCCTGGTCTTTTTCATTTAAGTGCTCTTAGCTTCTCCATATTAAGATGATGCAGTCTAGCTAAAGCTTTTTGTCGTAGGAGGAGTACTGTATTTAGATGAATAGGTTTTAATATGCTAAAATCAATATTTTCATATTAATAATGGATTTAAATGACTCATATTAAAGATCCCACAGTATATATTATCTTCACATCCAGCAGATCCCCCTCACTATTAAGGAGCGTTTCAGTATCATTCAGTTTATTGTTTTGGTTTGTAGCCCATAACTTGCCAGGTTAGGGTTATTCTTCATGTTATCAGTAGTTTTCATCTACAGCAGCAGAACCAATCTGCAGAATGAGTACTTTCACTTTTAGTACTTTACGTATATTTTGATGCTAATACTTTTGTACTTTTACTTGAGTAACATTTTGAATGCAGGACTTTTACTTGTAACAAAGTATTCCTACACTCTGGTACTTCTACTTTTACTTAAGTACAAGATCTGAGTACTTCTCCCACCCCTGTTAAACAGTTAAAGTCCCTGATCTTTCCCTAAGAAGTTATGATGTTGCTCTGTCTGCTGTCAGCTTAAAAGGTGACAATACTGTCTATCAATGATGAATACAAGTTGTACCTCAAAGTGGGAAAAAAGAATCCAGGTGAATGGAAAAATAGAGCATGGTGTACTGAAGAAGAGTAGTGCAGTGTGTTTAACACTGGTCTGACATTGTGTGGGTTCTGAAGTTACAACCTTAAAAATGTAAAGTAAAACACAAAGGTCCTTCTTACAGAACACTCAATACCAAGACCAGTCAACAGCATCTCAAATGAAATCAAATACTATCAAGCTGCTTTATTTCGTCCCGAAAATGGACCATCAATGTGTAAAACCCCCCGCTGGTAGCCAATCACCGGTCTCCATGGAGACTCCGTCTGAATCCACCTGACACGGAAGTCATCTGTGGATAATACAAAAACAGCCAGTAGAGAATTGAACCAGAGGAACAAAGTGCCCCGAGGAAAAAACACAACCACGCATCTCCCTAACAGAGCTGAAGATGGAGCTCACTCCAGGAGAGTGAGTGGGAGAGCGCAGGGAAATAGAAACAATAATGACTGTGGGTGTGTGTGTGTGTGTGTGTGTGTGTGTGTGTGCGTGTGTGTGTGTGTGTGTGTGTGTGTGTGTGTGTGAGAGTTTGTGAATTATGGGTACAACCACCAGTCATCCCTTTCTCTGAACTGGCATCGTGTGAAAATATGAAGCTACAGGCCAACTTCACTTAGCATAAATAAAAATAAAAGGAGATATAAGGTGTTAGCTAGTCTGCTGTAACAGGTCTGTTACAGTAGGTGGATTTTGTTTTGTTTGGACAGAGCAGGATAGCCGTTTCCCTTAAGTTAGCCAGTTGCTGGTGGGGGATTCATATTAACCGAAAAACCATGAGAGTGTTTTCAATCTTCACAATTAAATCTAGGATAAGTGTAAACACAAAACTGGCCAAGGTTGTCTTGAAGGAGATATAAGCTGTGTTTTCAAAACATTTAAAAAAAGACATGAAAAGACAAGTAAACAGCTTTAACGAATATGCTAACTTTATGAGATACATCTCCAGTTCAAGGAATCATTTGAAGTTGGTTCCATAATTTATGCAAGGTAAAGGAAAACGCCAGATTCAATGCAGATAAAAAGGCAGCACTGCATGTAATGAAAGTGAGCGGATGAGAGATTTTCTTCACAGCTTTTGTCATGTAGCCTGACGACAGAAGACCCTGCACTAACCAGGGTCCCAGAATTTGGTAATTATACCCCGCACAACTACTGGCATAATTGAATGCACATAGTTAAAGCCATCGCCTACTGTATCTGAGAGAGTGTGGAGTGAACTGCTGAATAGGCTGTTTCAAGGCAGAAGACTCTGTCGTCCTTTTAGCCTTCGATTGTTGGTACAATGTGTTTTCAAAGTGCTGAGCGGGCTGTTTTAACCCAGTGGGGTCAGCTGTCCCATTATCCAGTGAGATTACAAAAAGACTCATTAAGCTTTTATGTTCTTTTGGGTACTGCTGGCTTTGTGATTCTCCTTCTCTCAAAGGCAAATGATAAGATGTTTGTGCTGCTTCCATTTATGTCGGCTTCTAACAGGAGAGGCTGCTTTCTCAAGGTTGGAAAGGTCAGCATTGATGGAGGGCTTTGATTGTTCCACTGCAGAGAAACCGAGCGTCGGAGACAATAAAACCAAAAACAATATGAAACTCATATGAATGTGGTTGTGGTTTCGCAGGGAGGAAAGTGATGTGTTTTTATTTCATCATGCTTTGTTGAAATAAGATGAAATGTGAGGCTTGTGCGGATCATCCGGAGAACAACAGACACATGGACACAGACCTAAGGTTCAAAAGACATCCAAAGTGCCACTTTACTTACATTTTCAAAGTTACAAATAAAAATTCACTTAGTTGACATAGTGAGGATTTCAATTTTAAATCACGAACATATCCAGTGTTGCGAGGCGGAGCAGAGCCTCTTCTCTGCTCGCCGGACTTCATGTGTCCTCCCAGCTCAGGAGCAGCTTCTTCCTCTAGTGTCTGTGCACAGCCAAACAGCCTCAAAAGCCCTACTGACCAATTAGCAAAAGAAGCTGGCTGAAACGCCGCACGTTTGGACTGTAGGCCTTGCAGTTCTCTTTTCTACAGTGCTATCGCTCTGCAATGCAACTTCCTATACCTCCTGAGAATGGGAGAAGAACCAAAAAGACACTAGACAGAATCAACATAGCAACAAAGTATTGTAGCAGCCAAATAGGCATCACTTTCTGTTTGAGATGCATAGAGCTAGACATGGCCAGGTAATTCTCTCTTTTACAGAAACACGATGAGAAACATGCAACAACAACGACAATACATCATTAGTCTCATTGCTTCCTGGGCTTTCTGGGACATTCAAGATCAACGATTAAATAATTTGCAATCCTCCATGAAATAACAGCAAGAGCGGGAGCATCTCAGAGCCTGGGAACGTGTTGAGGGAACATCTTTGAACACTAGAAGGAGCCCGACAGTGAAACACAAATCATGAGTATGAGGCTGCTGGTGAAGCACAGGGTGGGTTCAGTCCACTATCTGGCCTACCTGGATGGAGGAAACATATTTACATCCGGTACATCAGCTTATGTATCTGGGCTCACAGACTGACCAGAGGCTCTGACATAACAGACAGACAGGGACAGGAGAGAGGGACAGGATAAGAGAAAGAAGGAGATAGAGAAAATGGAGAAGTCCATTTCAGAAGAGGTCAATGATTACAGGTTTAGGGGAAGGTAGAGGCAGAGAGTGGAGCAGGATTCTGACCGGGTCTTGACAGTTGTTGGTGAAATGCAATAGGTTTTCTGTTTTGAGTCTGTGAAACACAAAAGGAAGACGTCTAATGAGGTTCACTGAAGAGAGTCACATGGATAAGAGACAGGGATCACAAGAGCAAGTTCAGGAGCCAAAAGATGAGCTGCTGCCAAAGTAACTGGAGGAGGAGGAGGGGACATTGGAATGGCTTCAGATCTGTGCTGAGTTAACGGAGATTCCTGGTCGGCTGATGGCAAAATAAGATGAAGCGGAGCTACCACACGTAGCCAATCTCGTCATCCTTATCGTCTTCCTCGTCCTCGTCATCCTCGATGGCTCCTCGGGGGTGAATCCGGCCCCGCCTCTTCTTCTGCCGGCTCCGCCCACTCTGTGATGGCTCCTCCTCCTGGTCGCCAAGGAGGATGACAGCACCGCCGCTGCCGAAATCCCCCGATGTCTCCTGGTCCTCATCTGTAGGGAGATAAAAAACACAGATAAGCAAACAGGTTAAAACACAGGATCCCTGAGTGTGTAAACTGTGATATACTATACTCATGTGGGGTCAGTGGATCATGGTCTCACTCTTTGATGGTAAATGCTGCCGGGGACTGTGTGACCTTAACAGTTCATGAGAGATTTGCTAAAGGTTGTCTAGCTTAGTATACTCTGCACACATTCAGGGAATTCATATTATCTGGCACAAAGTTTGTACATACCTTTTTGGGATGTATAGCCATTTTTTATTTAGCACAATCATACATTGTGTTAAATACTAACTAGCCAATCTTAAATGTGTTAGCATTTAGCTTCTCATTGTGCATAAAAGCAGCCGAACAGAGCTTCTAGCATGTAGACTCTTAAGCCGTGTTTCCATTGCATCCCTGCCAGACTCCAACCGACTTCATTTTTTAACTTTACTCTATTTTGTTTTGATCCTCCACTTAACACATCGCAATGCAGAGTCAAGAGGTTGCATATTTAGTTAGCATCTGTGCTAAAAGCTTAGTAACATCAAGTTACATTTGCAAACAATTTTGCAAATGTAACTGTGCAAACAGCAGTCATTATCTCCGCTGCAGCCTCCAGCATTTTGTGAAATTGGGACGTTAAAATCCTTCTGAGTTAAGTTCCTAACAGCCTCTTCACACCTAGGTACAAGTGTACTCAGGCTGAGTGGCACTTCCAGTGTTAAAATCAGTTTGGTGTCTTTGCGTTTAGACTACTGAACGGAGAGCTGCTGCATTACTAGTTTTTTCTTTGCAAGGCAGAATAAAAAAGATCCAGGCTGCTGCAGCCTAAGCTTGTTAGACCGGAGACAAAGGGCTGTTGCTGTCTATGTGTGTGTTTGCAGTGTGTTTGTTTGTGTGTGTGTGTTTGTCAGGCTCTGGAGAGACACCTCATCAATATTGGAAGGTGCAATTACTGGCTTTGGACTAGACTGGCATTCCAGTGAGCCGTAATCTGTGACTGCGAGCTGGCTGTGTTATTGGTAATCAGTATATCTGCCTCCATCCTTTCTTGCTAATTATTGTTCTCCTTTTCCACAAAGAAATCCCATGGCCATTGATTTGCAGCAAAGTGCCTCTATTGGCTTTTTGACCATTCCCTTTGACTATCCACCCCTGGCTATGGTGGAGCTATAGATTTGACATATCAAAGCACTTAATTATATATATTCCTTGTTTGAAGGCATTTTCTTGGATGCCAACATCAGCCTGCAGTATGCGTTTACCCTCCTATAAAAGAGGCTGCTCAGTCATTGCTTTTAATTCATGTAAACAACCAATCTTTTGACGCTGCTCTCTGCTGACAAGTGTGACGGAGTTTCTTACTTGACTTGCAGGAAGCTGGTGTTTATCAAAGCTAAATGAGCAGAATATCAGAGGCAGATAACATCAGGCACATGACTGATAGTAAACCAGCCAAACTCCAGAGGCATGTTATCTATTTCATAAATATTTACTGATGTTTAGATACCGCTAAAGATAGTAAGGAAGGGAAGCGAGTAGATCTCTGATACCGAGATATTGTGGTACTGTTCAAGTTTCAGTGGTATATTATGTTCAAACGGGAGCTCTGCAACACAACCATACCCCTTGTTAAGCTATATGGGCGTGTGTGTGTGTGTGTGTGTGTGTGTGTGTGTGTGTGTGTGTGTGTGGACTTACCGCAATTGGGGTTGCCTTGTTTTCTGGAGCCAGCGATCTCATTGCCGTATTTGTCCACACACCAACACTGGGCGGTGCTGCTGTGACACTGCGTTGGTTTGAAGTAACCCTCCTCAGTACACCGGGGAATATAAGAGCCTAAAGATGGTAAGTAAGGGCGGGATGGAAGAAGGGAATACAAGGTGAGACCGAGTAAACAGCAAGAAACAAAAGGGCGGAGAACAGAAGATTCATGTGATCCTTCATTTCCTGTAGTTGAGACCACAGTTCTTATGTATTCAGAGGGGGATATCGGCAATCAATTACTGCTGTGAAGGTTGCAGGACAACAACTATACATCCTGCTTAAAGGGAAGCAGTCACTTTCAATAACAAACACACACACACACACACCTACTTCTGTTACCTTCATTTGACCCAGCCCAAGCTCATTCTTCAGGCTATGCTTGTTGTGAGCTGGAAGACTGAAAGATCCGCCCGCAGGCGACAGATGAAATGTGTACAAAATGTCAGGATGTGCTTTATAGTGGGTGTCTGTTTAATGCTGCTGATTTATATTCTCTGCTCCAGACAGTTGGAAACAGGGACAGCTGGTAATGCTAGGCTGTTTGTTTGTTTGCAATAAATGAGTTCATGTAGGAGTCAGTGAGTGACAGCTGTCAATCATCCAGACTGACCTATGAAGCTCTTCCTCCGACTCTGATTCTGGATCCTGCTCTTCTCCGCTTGGCAGGGCAGTCCTACAACCAAAACACAAAAACATTTTAAATAAAAGGGCTTGTTTTTCTGTCTTACCATCTACTCTATATACGCTACACTAACATCTTATTGATTTCTTGTATTGGACACCCTTTTATTTCTCCAAGCATTATCCTCAATTGCATCTTCTCATCGACTACCAATTTATAATCTCTGTCTACGTTTTATTTAGTTTATTTCTCGATTCATTATCCGCTTAAAAGACCACAATCTCTGTACACAATGCGCATTTTAAAGAAATAGGAACCAGTATTGAAATGTTTATGTATTTCATTAGTTGTGTTGTGACATTATTGGGACATTTTCATCGGATTTATTTCTCTTGAGCATGAGTTTCAAATTGTTGGAGGGTTTTACACCTCATTATTGCCTTTCTCATCTAAACGTTTCCAGCAATTCTTTATTTTCTTTGCCCTTTCCCCCTCCTCACCCTCAGGTTTCTGAAAGCAGTAGCACCACTCGTTGTTAGACAGCTTCCCGTCCTTAAAGGAGTCGCAGGAGTTGAAGAGGGGCTTCATGCACAGCTCATACTTGTCCAGGTAGATGGCACTCAGCTCTGATTGGTCCAGCAGGAGGTCGAAATTCATGTCAAGCTTGTTGAACATCCAGCCCAGAGAGTCCTTACAGATGGGCAAGATGCTGGTGTCAAAATCTACAAGAGGAAAAAGAAGATAATGAAATTGAACAGGTTGGAACATTTTGAAGTATCAAACTGAGTGAATCTGAGTGTATGCAGTGGCCCATCTGACATGTGCTCAGACATTACAGAAAACATTGCAGGGGTCGCTGTCAACAGCAACCCTCATGAGGACTGAAAAGTGTGGCGCTGTCAACAGGAAAGGGCTGCCACACACACACACATTTCGTGGGGTTATGTACTCACGTCCAGTGGCAGAGTCGAGGCTGTCGGAGGATTTGAGGTCTCTGTTGGCGTCAAGATGGAGAACTCCAAACCAGTCCTTTAGTCTTGCAGCCAAACTGTGGAGCTCTGTGTCAGTGCAGGCTATACACACGCACACACACACACACACACACACACACACACACACACACACACACACACACACACACACACACACACACACACACACACACACACACACACACACACACACACACACACACACACACACACACACACACACACACACACACACACAGAAAGTAATGAGAAGAGGAGAAGCTGTCAATCTTCTGCTCTGTCATCAGCGAGAAAAAGAAGAGTTCTTATATTCCTTATCAAAACTTTCATTTCAGTTCTGCTGTGTACTTTGCCTCTCTGTGTTCTTCCCTTTTCCTTTCTAATCACACTCTTCTCCTTGAGTACACACAGCGGAGTCATAACACACACTGAACTGCTGCTATCTCTTGACAGTTACCATAGGAACCCAATACAAATACAGTACACACACATCGGAGTTTCCTCTTCTGCTGGCACCTCTTTCTGTTGACCATTTAATGTTCTTGTTCAGATGATTGATTTGATCCACATGGGAAACCACACACTCACGCTCGCAGTCACAAACACACAACCGACAGACAAAGGTTTGATTGAAATCCGAAATGTCATTTCAGTGAGAGGACACTTGATAGTTCTCCACGGCGGAGATTAATCTGTGTTTGTTCTTTTTTATGCGTGAGCAAACCCCTCTGCGGGACAACAAAAGTCAGCTAAAAAACACTGTCATGCAAGTTGATTCTTCTCTCCATGCAGCAACCCAAAAAGAGCTGGAGAATTACATTTAGTGATAGCCCTAATTCAAAGTATAAACCATCCTCTGTCAACAACAAATCCCTGGTTCCTGCAGCCCTGTGGGACTGACAGGGTCTGCCTGCAATCCGAGGAGACTCCCCTCCCCGCCTGTCTCCCTCCGCGTCTCTCTCTGTCAATCTCCGTCCTCCTTTCTCCCTCTCCTGCATGTGATTGACATATATTTTTTTCTATTTCTTTTGAGAGCCTGATAAATGTGCCTGAAGGACAAGAGCCATTTTCCACCTCTCGCTGAAGCCTTCCGATCCAAGACGCTCCAGCTTTGTCGTGACTTATAGAAAATGCAGAAGTAGGTTGTTAGTATTCATGTGGCGGCACTGTTATTTCAGAACTGAGGCAGTTTGCTGGGAAACATGCAAAGGTTCAGAGCGTTTAAAGAGTCGCGTCAAAAGACAAATCACAACGATTTAATCTTGAGAAAAAACGTCTCGTCCCTGGTTATCCTGTCAGATATCATAAAGGAAGGAAAATGCAAATGCACTGAATCCTACAGACATATCAGGCAGAGGGAAAGATAATATCCCTCTAAGTCTGTCTCTAACACATATACACTCTGAGATACACACACATATTTAATTGAATAGAGCAGATTGGTCCCTGTGTGTGATACCTGGATCACACTTTGCTCACACATGCCACAGAGCCAGCAGGACACCAGGCTGAGAGACGTTTCTGTCACTCTTCTTCATTCTGTGGCCCAACCATGTCCTGCGTCCTGGCAGGGATGCATCATGTTCAGACACTCACACAGACACACTCATTTTATAGTAATAGTTGCGGGATTGTGTCATTATTGCGGCTCCTATAAAACAGAGGAGGCCCCGGGTAACTGACTGGAGCCGAGGAGAGGGCCGATAACGTATTACTGGCTGGCTATCTGTGTGACATTACCTCTTGAATCCCAAGGTGGTCTTTTCATGTGTGTGTATGTGTGTGTGTGAGAGTGATATAACCCTTCAGGTGGATACAGATAACGTTTCGGAGGGCTCTTCATTTCCACGGTCAGAGTGAGAGAGCAAAATACCAAACAGCCACAACATTATCCGTCCTCACCTCCTAATTACAATTCTTCCCGAAGAGTCGGCAGCATATTACTCTTTCTTTATCGCTTATTTATTTGACCGTTCCTCCTCCTCACACCAAGTTTTACCCCCATTGTTTTCCTTTCTGTTCACGCTCGCTGCCATTTAAGGCACTCGCTGCTTTTTGGATTCCTTTGTTGCCTTTCAGGACTTCTTCCGCATTTTCCTCCATTGCCTTTTCACTTCCAACCTCTCTCTCTCTCCTCTAGCGCCGTCACTTTTCTGAGATTCAATAGAGGCCACTTATCACTCCTGGCTGTACCTTCCACAGTTTCTCCTAAACTTAAAGGAACCGCTTTGATATGCCACGCTCTTCCATTTCTTTCTCCCCTCTAAATTGCTTTGAGTGCTTTATTTCCCATCTTTCCCCTTGCACATCCCCCCATGGAGTCCAAAGATTGTGTCTGTTTTTCTCTTTGATATCCTCTGTCCCTCTCCCTCCACTTTTTTCACTTTTGTCTCCACTGCTCTCTCCATCTGTCCCTCTCAAGTCTCTCGGACTATGCAGTACGACCAACAATGAGTCTCAATAGACCCCTCTTATCTCCCTCTCTCAGTTTGACCCAAATAGTTTTGGACGGGCCCGACACTGCTGCCCGTGTAAGGACTCCTTTTGTTGAGCAATGAAACAGAAAGCTGGAAATGAAACCATTCACGCACTGAAGGACACAACACAACACAGATAAAATGGCCTGTTTAACCATTCATTCCCCTCTTTCTCCTCTCTCTCTCTCTCTCCTCTCTCTCTCTCCTCTCTCTCTCTCCTCTCTCTCTCTCTCTCTCCCTCTCTCTCCTCTCTCCTCTCTCTCTCCTCTCTTACCTCTCTCTCTCTCTCTCTCTCTCTCTCTCTTCTCTTGCCGCTCTCTCGTCTCTCTCTCTCTCTCTCTCTCTCTCTCTTCTGCTCGTCTCTCGTCTCTCTCAGTCGTCTCTGCTGCTCTCTCTCTCTTGCTCCTCATCTCTCTCTCCTCATCTCCTCTCTCTCTCTCTCTCTCTCTCTCTCTCCCTGAGCCCCGCAGGTCAGGCAGGCTTAAAAGATGTCAGAACACACAGCCAAGATCAAATGTCACACACACGGGCCATTACAGAGATATCACACACCGTTATGGCAAGACTCCATTGATGTGTGACTCAACAAGTGATGTTGCTGCTGTCAGTAGAAATCAAGTGTCTCCGACAACACTCACAAAGTTTAACTCAAGGAAAAAGTGGGTCATGCCATGGCTGGAGCCGCAGTCTCTTTTACTCTCGACCTTAAAACTAAAGTCACATTTGCTAATTATGGATTTTTTTAATGTAGTTTGGATGAATGTCTACTCAACATAAAGCACCAGGCATTATGTATCCATATTCATCTTCTCTCTAGACAGCAATCATGTTATTATTGTTACCTTTGTATGTCTAAAATAATAGCAAGTGAAAATCAACCTGAAAAGTCAAATCTGTGTTTCTGCTCACGACTTACTAATTAATATGTGATATACATGGGCGTCGCAGCCATTATATGAGGGTGGGACAAGTCCCCCCCACTTTTTCAAATGATTAGTATAGACCCCCCCACTTTTACTATGCGGAAAGTCCGTGAATCGGTTTATCCACTCGCCACACTTTGTAGAGCGCTGTGTCAGTGCTTCACTATCAAATGAAATCCATTCCACTTGCTTATTGAGAGAATGCCCAAATCAATGAAACTCCGTACCATGTTTTCACTGCTACTTTGTACCAAGGCAGATTCTCACATAGCGCGCGCATGTTCAAGGAGTGATGTCATAGTTGGACAGCTCAGATCTGTTGTATGAAGCGATGCCGGTAGCGGAGGTAAGGCACACACACCAAATGTTCAGGAAATGGTTAATACAGCGAAAATCAAAGCTGACGATCTCTTGGTTTGATATGTTTTCTCCCCCAGACAACATGGACATAAGAACATTTTTTTCAAAGAAGAGGAAAGTAAGTCATCAGCTGGTAGCAGTTAATCAGTTAACAGTGATGGCGGCGTCTCACTTCTGGAGAGGAGTTTCGTCTTTATGTCATGATAGAGAGATACAAATACTGAATAGTTTAGATGAGAAAAGGCATCGAAATGCCAGGTTACTAGTATTTATCATGTAAACAGGGAACATGAATAACCCGATCTCTCTGCTCATGTAAACACCATATCCCCAATATGATCATAACCGGGATAATACTCATAAACGGCTTACTGATGTCCATGTAGAGACGCAGTCAGTGTGTTTTACTGGAACCTCAGTTCGATAAGAGATTCTTTTCTGAGTTCTTTAACTTAGGTACTCTCTGTCAAATGGTAATGTGCATTATGTTTTAATTATACTTATCATTCAGAAGCTTTTTGTGTGTGTTTATGTTTTACTGAGTGATTATAGGCTATTTCCATCCCAATATTCAGTTAACTATTTATTTGCTGTGCACATTACATAGACTAGCTAATATTCTACCTACTGGTTGGGACTTTGAGTCTTCAAAATGTCCAATGTCACAGACTGGGACTTACTTTAGAGTCAGTTGTATTTACATTCAGTATGACTTGTTATGATTCAATGTGAAAGAGTATACTGCTCAATAAATAATTATCACTTCCCCACCTCTCTTGACATCTAGGCACTTGAGAGTGAGTCAGAGGCAGAATACAGGGACAGTGGAGAGAGGTCCATTGCTGAGGTGAGTGATGAAAGGGAAATGACAGTTGAGAGTAAATTGTGATGTGGACTCTCATCCCAGGATTTTAAGGAAATCAGTGGGGATATTGAACAGGAAACATTTCAGTCAAGGGGCATCATATGACCAATATAGACAGAAGAGCAACATTTATTTGAACATTTAAGTCAATGATACCATTCCTAGGTGAACTTAACATCCGTATGGAGTCAGATCAGTCTCAATATTAATAAATGCTCACAGAAGGATTCACAAATGTATTTTGCGATTTATATATAAATGACTCTCCACAACAATATCTCTCAATGCACTCACAAATATTTATTGTTGTATATAAATGTACAAAAAATGGGCATTTAAACTGCTTTTTATTAATTCAAAGACAGCTCTGAATTAATAATCAAATATGTTTCCTTTCTTTACTACTGGATGAAATTACAAAATGTACCCATCATTTTCCTCATGCTAGTATAGCCA